AGGGTAATGAATCAGGAAGTGTAATTTGCAAGGTACACGAACAGCTGGAAACACATCTTTGAAGTCTACGGAGAAGCATGTGATCAGGCGTTCGAGGTATGCAATATACTCTACTGTTACTCGCTTGCTCATGATTATGTCTACTACCTTTCTGAACAAAAGGTACAACTCCCACACCTTTGGCCCCTTGGTATGCACTCCCCCACATAAAAAGGCAAGTACCGAAATAAGCAGTACAGCTGCGAAGCACTCCCTTTGATAGTTCCTTTTTTTTTTGCAACATACTAGTTGACACCGGTTCCGGCTTATTACGCTTATCATCCTCACTGTATTTATACGTCACAATGGCAGTGTTTAACAATTCCAAAGTAAAAGTGCCATCCTTGACAAAAAAGGAAATAACCTCCTTTAGCAACAGTGGTATAACTCCCTCGTGTAGATCGTGCATGACGTCAGGCGGAAGGTGTTGTGTAGGCTCAAAGCCAGAAAATGTGACAGCACATTCACTGCGCACGCCATACAAAGGCAAGCAGCTGAGACCACGAGATAGCAAGCTGAGGTAGTGGTTGTGGAGAGATGGTGTTCGCTCCTGAAAGTCAGACGGTCGGTGCTTTGTTCCTATCTCATGATGTAAGGCCATGCAGTGTCGGCATATCCTACCATGACTGAAGCTGCACCTGAAACCGCCTAATCGGTGCAAAGAAAGATTATCCCCTGTAACGAAGAACACGGACCCTTTGAGAAGTTCTCCATTAACAGTAACGCCTACTGTTTCTAACAGCGCCACATCATTTACAAGGGGTTCAAGTATTCTCTTTAAGCCATACTTTGCTACAAGTTTTTCTTTTGCTAGCACTGCCAAGTGGATGGAGGAAAGCTTCGATCTAGAGTCAAGAGGAACATTCAGTACTGTGTAATACACTGCCATCAGTTTCTGCTTTCCTCGTCTGCTTGCAAGGGCATCACAGACCTCAAATTCGTCGGTGTAAAGTTGAATGCACAGCTGTCTATTATCACCCCGAAAGTATGCATGATCTTGAAAAGCTGTTCCGTCAAAGACATCGACAAGGTACTCATCTGACCTTGGTGAATGTGAAGACCCGACATTGCCAGAAACGTTTTGCAGTGAGTTCTCTAGGACTTTTGTCACAGAAATATAGCTGAAAGTCTCTTTTTTTCCTCTTGAGTCTCTACCAATGCAAATACTTTCTGGCTCTACAAAAGGCAGGCAGAACTTCCAATACATTTCTCGTTCATGCTCATTTAGTAGCTTTTCAAGCTTACACTCAACAAATGATTTCACATTATTCCTTACCAGTTGCGAAGCAGAAAGGGAAAGCTCAAACATGCTCTGCAGATACAAAACAACATCAGTGGATATATCTTGCAAGGTAGAACTTGGCAAGCGCTTTCCCTCTTTCCACTTCAGCTGCAAGAGAGCAAATTGCTTGAACAAGTCTGGCCCATCGCGAGGTGAGTCAGGCACACTGGTCTCCATGTCTTGTGAAATATCGGCATTCGCACTGAACGGCATAACTGGAAGGCTGTTGAGTTGCTCCCTCCTGGTGGATGCAACACCATGCTCCGACTCCTCGCTTCCTTCAGTGTTGTACTGAATGTTGTTTTCCTCAAGGATTTTCGCATGATACCTCGAAACGTGCTTCCGGTATGCTCCATATGTGACATATGTCTTTAAGCACCCTTGAAGGCCACGCAGCCAGTTTCTTTCGTGTCCGTGCTCCGCATGAAGGTGCCTAAATAAGGACCTCAATGTGACCTCTCTTTTCTTGCACTTGTGGCACTGAAGGAAACGGATTCCAGGCATCTGTAAAGCAAAAACTCTTTGTTCAAACAATAGAGCAACTTTTCAGTGACAATCTCAGCCTTTTTTTAAATTTGCGATAAAAAAGTTATCCTAATATACTAACCTGTTAATATCTTTAGAAAATTATCTTTGTATGTAATGACCATATAGGTCGGTTTGCCCTAAACACAGCTAATTTAGCCATGGTTAAAATAAAGTTATAGGAAAAAAGTTCCTAGTAAAGCACAAATAACAACTGGGTAAATAAGTTTTCAACACTTATAAATGGGCGTTAGTTTAGGTAATCTCATGGCTTGAAGAACAGCAGCCATCATCGCCTCATCTTATTTGTCAGACATAGTTTTTTCTTACCGACTCCTCTCCTGATCCACGAGATAGCAACTAGCGACGTTAATAAAAACCCACAGCACTCCAGGTGTCCCTACTTCTCGTCACCCTATAACAAACACAGTAGTAGTTGCGTATCAGTATGGTTTTCGGAACAAACTTTTAGCTTTTACTTCGTAAACACTGGCTTTAAAATTAACACATGGCTTCTTAAAACGTAATACTGATTGCTTCGCACCTCAACATTATACAAATTGTTGATATGATGTACCTTAAATAAATATAAATTTTGTACTCGCAACAAAGCTGCATTTTGTGTCTTATACGCACAGCGCCAAAAGGCCGGACAGAATGGGAACAGACATTCACTGACTTACAACTCCTTGTAAAAGTCAGTAAATTGTGCGTACTTCTCTCCTAGTATTTTGGCACTGTACGTTTAGCAATCATGCCTTACCAACACGCACAAGCTTCCATTTACGTCCAAATCCTGTAAAATAGCTTGTGAACCCAAAACACATACATGGTAATCTCGCCACTTCCGGCCGCCATGACAGGGGGCCGAGACAACTTTCGGTTCAGGTTTTGTTTGCATGCTTTCAAAGGGAAACATCACCACTATGTTTCGTGTTTTCCGCAATTAAATCAGTATTTTGTTTTTACGTTTTCCGCTCTCATTGGCTTCTTCAAGTGCTGTAATGTCTATTAACTGGGAAACTTTGCTATGGCAGATCTCTGCGAAATAAAAGATGCAGCAAGCCGCGGCCGTCGAGCGCGAACAGTCTCTGTCACGCGAGCGTCAATTTCACGCTCACAAGGATCGCTTCATTTTGAAATAAAGATACACACATCCGACTCTTCCGGACATCGAAGATACATGATCGAACGAATCACACTTGAGTTCTTAGGAAAATAAAGATTAGTTGGAAGATTAATTAGTGTATACGCCCAGATCCAACTTTTTTATTTTAGTCTTAACGTAGGTTTTCATAACACAGGCAAACTTGGCACTGCATAAAATTCTTAATAGATAAAATAAGTTTTTATCATTTTTTTATATCAGAGCAAAATTATTTGATGACTTTACTTTTCGTGTGCATGTGAACTTGTGACCAAACGCTTTATGTGAGCCCTGAACAAATTCCATGTCGTCGAACATAATTGCGCTTGTGTGTGTGCCTGTGTGCGCCCAAACAGAACAGTTCGAACAAATGCGATATTGCCACGCTCGTCGCAGAGCGAGCGCGTACGTGCCGAGTGGTTACCTTGGTGGGCTGTCGAGCGGAGGATCTGGGTTCGATTCAAGGAACTGGAATGTTCTTTTATTTATTCTTTCTGTTTGGCGTTCTCACAAATTTTAGAACATCCTCGTCTGATCGAGTTACGAATGTTCTACGCGCCGAACGTTCTAAGCCGAATGTTCCAGAAACGCACGCGGCTACAAAAGGTGCCCCACGTGGCAAGCCGGAGTCAGCTTTCGCCCCATGCGCTCGATCCTGCCGTTTCGCCGACATCGACGCCTGCAACGCTAACCTACCCTCTTTTGTTTTGTGCAAAAGCTCACACCATTAAGCGTTCAGTTTATTCAGTTATTCGCCTCCTCACCACTTGTCATTCGTGACAATATGTCCCGCGTGATCGTAACAAGTTGGACGCAAAACTAGTGTTATAGAATCCAAAACTGACGTCCGCGTCTGCACCTGTATCCGCGTGAATATCGAGATCGCCGTGGTACGCCGACGTTGCCAGAATTACGAGATCTCCACGCGTCTTCGAAAACAAGCCGCTTGCATTTTGCGGGGAACAAGCGGCACAATTGTACTATACGCTGCACGGCTTTTCCCAATCACGTATCTCTACACGTCGTCGAAAACGCACTCCTCACTTTTTTTCCAGGCACGACCGAGCACCATTGGCAGAATCCTTCGCACCCACCTTCAACTACGTCCAACAGGGCGTAGTTTCGCTTTGGCCAGCTCGAACACTCAAGGCGACGCCGCGCAGTTGATGAAGCGATACTGTTCTCGCACACGCTCTCCCGTGCACGAAAAACACGAAACAATTACATGCCGATGCCTCGGTTGATTCGTGGACACTTCATTGAATGTCTCACGTGTACGCAAGCTTCCACTGCGCCTTCAGGTAGGGTTACGTCACTTTCGCCAGGGAGGTGAAATAAAACAAGATGCGATGCTTTTTTTCTTGGACCCGTATGCTTCAGAAATACACACCGATCTACCTGACGTCCGGTTTTCGACATACCTTTTGCAATTTTCCGCTGAGAAAAACTTAGAAAATTGCGCTGCTCCTTCCTGCTCGTTCAGATGTACACATCAAGATGGTCAACCGAAAGTTGTCTCGGCCCCAGGAAGTTCCGCCATTACCTTGGAATACCCTGTATATCTTTTTGTTTTTCTTCCGGTTTCTGGGTTTGGCGAGGGCGCTGTTTCCCCCGGTTAAGATACGCTCACGGGTATATTGTTCCAAATTTAACTGTTGAAGTGCAACTCGCTTTTACTTACCAGCAGAAATGTGCTGACATCAGTTGTAAGGCGGCCTCAAAGCACGGGTCACGCTCGCTCGATTTGTGCGATCTCATCTGACGTCTCCCAGCAAATCCTTTGGCGAAGGCCGCGCGGCGTGGAGGGGAAGGGGGGGGGGGGGGGGGGGCGCCGGTAGCGCTGCTGGAGCTCAGTGGCAGAAAAAAAAAAAAAGCGAAACCGCAACTAACTCTGGTTATGCTGAACCTGGCCACGTCGTAGTTTCGAATTATTTTTTTTTCTGTCTTTTACCGTTTTTACGAACATAGTAATTATTTAGATAAATATGTTTTATATTGTGATGAACTTTTTGTTACATTTTGGCCAAATTTAATTTTGTTATTAACGAAGCACGACCTTAAGCAACTTTTACGAAAGTGGCCGGCTGTAGCCGTATTTACATCCGGGTGTCGCATTAGCATCGTGGTTCGCGATTCGAACGTTGCGTGTTGCGTTGGGTCGCAATAAGGACATAGCATCGTGGTTCGCGATTCGAACGTTGCGTTGGGTAGCAATAAGCAACAATTAGCTCATTAGGTAGCCGAAGTTCGGCGCCTTCAGATACCGAAATGTCGGTTACGTGCCTCCTAACAGTGGGCACTAATGGTGCACGTCGTAAGTTGACACTTGAAGAAGCGAACCTACGTGGTGTAAAGGCGTCCGCGAGCACCTGCAGTCTCCTGGCTTCAGAGATAAACTTCGAAAGCGACAGATTTCAGGTAATGTGAACATATTTGAAAAAAATTCGAACACTGCCCGTGCATACATAGGTTTCTTAATGCTGATTTCTTGTGACCTGTGATAGTGTGTATTTTTGAATGAGTGAAGCTATACGCACTCCGGAGTGCACTTCAGACGAAATGGCTATACGCACTCCGCTAAATTCGAATAAAACGAATGGTCAGAATGAGTTTTCTTATCGGGGGCATAGCATATGTTAAAACGTCCGCTTTCTACGTAATGGGAGGCGGGTTTGATACTCGGTGGGCTTACTTTTGTTTTTTTTCTTTTTTTTCTCGAACATTTTGTTTTGTCGAGGCATTCGACGATATTTACGACATTCTTTTTCGCGATGAGCACTAAAACAACCGAATGTTGTCGACGAAACTTTTCCAGAGGTGCGATCGGGGACAGCGGGGCTTGGGTTGCGGGCTGGACGCCGCGAAGCTGCGTGTACGGGTTAAGTTTTGTAATTAGTAGCCGATACTGTCGCCGCGAAGCGGCGTGAACGCAGGCGGTGGGCTGTGTTAACGAGCTCCCCAGTGATACACGCGCCGTTCGAAAAGGTTGGCCCGAGGGGCATGAGCTCTCGGCTTAGTGCGTATAGCCATTTCGTCCGAAGCGCACTCCGGAGTGCGTATAGCTTTACTCTTTTTTAATTTCTATAACGTATTGTCGCCAATGGCTTGGACCCGATTCCCGTCCTGTGTCGTCATCTGTACGAGCCGTGGGTAAAGCAACTTCTTGTCAGCCAAGAAAGGCAGTTTTGATGGTGCGAAATTATGCTTGTGAGAGCTAGCTGCAGGTGTTCGACACCAGTGACCACATCGATTGCCGCCAGTGAATACGTCCTATACGTAAGGAAAAAATCAATCTCAACATTGAATTAATCAAGACCTAAGTGACCTATGTTGAGATCGCGATCACTGGCTTGTGCAGGAATTTGTGAATCTTGCCTGCTCTCGTTCTGTTGCTGCTATATCTAGTCGTTCACACGCGTTGTGAACGCTTCACGTCAGTGCGTTCCCTCCCGCATGCAATGAGGCATACGAAATGATGCTCCAAGTTTGACGTTTTAATTTGCAATGATCAGTGGCGAATCACAACAACTTATGGTATGCTGGAGCTTCACCAAGTTGCCTTTGTAATCCGGCTTGCAAAACGTGTGGTGCTCTCTTAATATCATTACTAAAACCCGGAGATCGGGAAAATTGAAGGACAGCACAACAGAAAACCTTACCGGGGTTTTGCAGTAATTATGGTTAACCTTCACCTGCTGGTTTGCGGACTAACTTTTTGTGCTCTCTTAATTTTCCATGCGAAATAAAGGGATGACTGCGACGATACTCCGGAGATTAGTGACAGCATCATTGGACATTTTCAGCTATTACCAGAGCTAACACAGTTTCGAATAGACTGTTGTGGCTCTTTGCTAACGCTGCAATTCTAAGTCTACTGTTTACGTTTTGGACAGGTGCTCGACAAAGATTTTAACGAGTATGTGGACGTACTTGACGAGGACAAAATTCATGACATGGCCCTTCTTCGTGTCGTGAAGACAGCACATGGCGGTGAAACTCCAAGTGGAGAGGTCAGTGCCACATCTTGCAACATTACAATGTGTATTATACTTTCTCTTAACCTTTCCAACCTAATTGAATCCTGTAAAAGTAAGGACATTCACTTGTGCCTTCTTATTACTAGCTGCTGTGACATTCATTCTAAAGAAACATCTCTACTTTACTCCACTTGTCCATTGTATCAATGAGAAATTAGTTTGCCCGTTTCCCCTTGCAAAATGAGTGAGACAGAATCAATAGCCCAGTGCATTCCTCTTTTCTACACTTGTTATGTTTTGGTGAAAAGTGTTATTGGAGCTGATGAGCAGATTTTTCTAAATGTATTTTCATAGTAACAAGAAACTAAATATATTTATTTTTTGTTTATAACTTTGAAGAACCTGTATAATCGTCAAATTGTCCTCGTACGCCTGATAAATTGTGTTTTTCTTGTTAATTCACGTATTTGCAGGGAAGCTCAGTTGATGAAAACACTCCAGGAACCAGCCAGGAGCGGCATTTCAAAATTACACCAAGGTATGCTCAACGGCCTGCACTTATCACGCCCTTGGCGACGCAATTGAGATACAACGGCTTTCCAGAGAATATCGTCACTATAAACGACGGCACCTCGTTTCGGAGCGTCAAAATTAATCTCACATACTCCCACTCCCCTCTGTATAACCTCTTGCCCTGAAGGTAATCGAAATAAATAGACTGTCCCTTTTTTTAACCCTTTCCTATTCAGTCATGGTGACGACGATGGGGCAGGATTTGTACTTCCGGACTTCGACTTTCTTAAAGCGGCTGCAGCAGGAGGCAAGCCACTCGGCTCCTATGTCACAACGAGAATTGTCGACGTTTTGTTCCAAGAAATGGCAACGCATACATTGTGAGTAAGCTTGCATCAAGTCGTATACCTCTGAAGCTGTCGCTACCTGTTAAGGCCAGTGCTGCAATGACAGCCAAATATGATTTTTGCAGGTACCCATCCAGAGCGTTTTACCAAAATGTGGGGCGGGCACTCGTATCTCAATACCAGTCTTGTACACGTTACTAAAAAAAAGTAATCGATTACAATTACTATTACTCTTGGCTAAAAAGTATTCGATTAGATTACTTGATTACTCGACGGCAAAAGTAATTGGACATTACTTAAAGAAGTAATCGTTACTTTTCCGATTACTTTATTGTGTGAAGACACATCTTTAGCGCTCATAACAATGAACTACTTCCAACCTATATTTCACAAGAAGAAAAACTGGCTCCCTCTTCGTGGTCGTTGCACCTTCACAATGCGGACACAAGCATAGAATTCGTTTGAAGACGTTTAATGATTTGCGCGTTCGCCAGTGTGTGTGTGTGTGTGGGGGGGGGGGGGGGGTGGAGGGGGTTCTAGATCTTGTTAAGCTTGAGAAAGGGTTATCGCTCAAATTTTGCGTCGCTCATTTTATTATCCACATGTGGATGAGTTCGCATGTTGTACAAAGAAGCAGCAGATCCATGATTTGAAACTGATCATGTGTAGTATCCATTAGCGGAAGAGATTGCCCTGACCACTTCTCAACTCGAAACATTGCTTGTCACAAAGACCACGTAGGGGAAATGGGGAAATATTTCAACTGCCTTTGTTATATTTTGCATCCGCTTTAGGCATTCTCCGGTTCTGGTTCTCCTACGGGCTGCGAGTAAATACCCTAAGCAGGATTTTTTTTTTATTTCTGTGTGTGTGTGCGTGAGGGGGCTAGTTTGAACGAAGGACTCACAAAGCTACATTCTGCTTCCTCAAACTTCGCCCTGAATGGAAGCCACAGTTGGGGAAACTGTGGCTTTCCTGGGGCTTCCCACTCCCAGTCCCAGCTCGAAAAAACAAAAAAAAAACGAAAAAAAAAACGGACATTCCACAGAAACTGTACATAGAAAGAGATGGACCTCGTTCCCTACAGCTCTGCAAAAATCTTTCTTTTTTCCGTTCGAAAAAAAAAAGAGCAAATTTTATTTTTGTCGTGACATAAAAAAAGGCGTGTGCCGGGGGGGGGGGCGGGGGGGGGGGGGGGGGTCCCGTGGACAAATTGTAACGATTACAAGTAATTTTATTACTTCAAAAAGTAATCAGATTACTCTTGTGATTACTGCGTAATAAAAGTAATCAACTGATTACAAAATTACTCCAAAAAATAATCGATTACAAGTAATTTGATTACTTGTAATGCGTACGGTACAAGTCTGCTCAATACCCACAGCTGGCAGATACCTGTGGAAGTGGCCATGTAAGTGCCTTGTTGAGATGCATTTTCTGTTTAGTCTATTCTCCATAGTAGTACAAGCTCCTAATGGGCAGCTTTTTTGTTTGACTAAAAAATATGATTTTTTAGTCATAAACATGTTCCTTTGTTTGTGCTGGAAGAGTGCAATATTTCCTTAAAATCTGCTGCAAATTAAAACTTTTACCTGTTTAGGGAAGGGGCGTAATGTAACAAAATCTTAGTCAAAATAAAAAAAAGGAACTGCAGAAAAATATCAAACTGTTGCTGTACATGTTGCGTTTTGTTTTTTTGCATCAACAATAGTGCAATTTTTCTGCATTGTTTGCAAACACGTGTGTTTGAAAACATGGGATTAGAGTTGTGCTCTCTGAGGAGTGCTTGCCCTGTTTTTAACTTTGTGACAGGTTGAAATAAACTGTTTTGCACTTTGGTGCTATACACAAGTAGGGGAAAAAGAAAAAAAAGGGAAACGCATCCTGCATGCTGGTTTTCTTGACTGACAGCGTTGGAACATAACCAACTATTTGACGAAAGTCACAGGTCAGAGTTGAATTATAGCTTTGAGGGTAAAGGGAAAACCATTTGTATCGCAGAGCCACCACTGAACTGTAGTTATTGAGTTATCTGATATTTCAGGATTCTTGGGTCATGTTTATAAGGCAGAAGTTCAAAAATGAAAGGAGGAAACTGTCAACCGATCGTGTAATGAGCAGCAGAGAAAAGTATGGCAGTACCGCAAAGAAACCAAGAACTTCCAGTGGAACCACGACAGAAGAGCTGCAGCGTGGCAGCATTGGACAAACTTTGGTTAGTGCTTTAGATTACAGTTGTGTGATAGTTTTTCCTTTAGTTTCACTAAACACAACCTTATTTTCTACGCAGGCACAAAGTTCGACTCCTTGTGGAGAAGATGCGAGTAGTCTTGCGCAGCATGAGGCATGGCTTTGCCAAGAGTGGAAGAAACCAAATCCTGACAATCAGCAAATGCGCTGCAGACTGGAACTGACGCATCAGGCCAGAGTGGAACAATTAAGCAGACTGTCGGTTGCTGTGGCCGTCACCAAGTATCCATACTTACGAGACGCCGATTTGGTAAGTGCTTTATAATAACCTCAGTAGTATATTTGTGAGTTTTATTTGTCAAAGTTCAGATTCGGCACATGCCAAACATAAAATAAGGAAAAAAAAGATTTGACAAGAATTTAGCAGAATCGAAGTATGTATCTATGTCCTTACGTCGTGAATACACATTCTCAGGTGTCTGCTGAATCGTTTTCGAATCAACATCATTCAAATGTTACTAGGAAATTGTTTTATTCATTTAGAAATACGTTTTGTTACCTTTTCTATCAAGACTGGTTTTTCTGCGCTGCTGTCACAGCTGAGACCTACTCTAAACAAATATATAAGCCCTCAGGTATTATCTTCGTCCCCCTGCAAGTTTACCCTACAAGTTTGTTTCAGTTATAGCTGTCCACGACGGCCAGCTCTGCATGCGAATACTGTATTTGAAGTGTGTTTCTATCTTTTTTTAATTCTGCAAGCTTTTTGTTTTCTAAAATATTTCAGTTTTTCCACGACTTTAATATGCTACTCAAGAAAGATGGAGCTGCAGCTGTGGTGGAAGGGATGCAAATTGTCCTGAGCCTAGCCCTCGGGGATCGCTTGGGAGCCAAAAGAAAGGACACGATGCCTGTCCTGGAGGCTGACGAGGCGACAGCTTGTGCAAGGCGCAAGAAACGTATGTTCATCAAGACTTGTTAAAAATTCAGTGCGGCCATGTTATGTCGCTAGTGTTTGCTGTAGCCTACTAAAAATTCCATTCTGCTTTGTGCAAGTTTAGAGTCACCAGAGTGCACATTAGTGTTCTATGATACAACACTGACCCAAGACATTCTTGGTATGCAGTGTATTCACTGAAACCGATCAGCACAGAAGCGTCATTACCATAGTAAGGTTCTCTGAGCAATTGAGTTAGTGAACTTATCCACCTCGAGATGAAACCACACTGCCACTAAAAGACAGAAATGGTAACTGCTTTCTTTTACTTTTTTGCTGATTGTTGTGGAAAAAGATGCATTCAAAATCAGTTGTTCAGCTTATCCGTATAGAGGCTCAGCGAGCTTTTACAGCAGACGGAGGTGTAATAGCTGAGGAAGCTGATGTTTATAATTGGAAATGCACGTGGTGGACATTTGATTCGATAATGCTGTGATTTACTGAAGAATTACATATTTCCCACTAGAATTACTTCAAACTACAATATTCAACAGAATACTTAGAATTCTGTGGCGAATAGTTTTAAAAAGCCGTTTGGTGACCTTGTATTGTCCACGCTTTGATGGTAGCGCGACGGTAACGCCGCCTCCTTGTGTATCTCGGCGAATTGCCTTTATAAAGATTTCCAAATTTGCCGAGCAGTCGTTTTTATACTTACAGTGCTCTAAATCTTGCTTTAATATTGCAGCTTATAATGCAACAGGTCTGAATTTGCTACCAATATTTGTCTGAGAGGAACCAGCTTGTTTTAGGCAAAATATTTACAAGATAAGCTTTGCATGGGGGGGGGGGGGGGGGTATGAGTAAACAAGGGATGGCCGGAAACGAGATGAGGATGAGAAAAAGCGTTAGGTAAAGAAAAGACTAGTCTTACTTTCCAGTCTTTTTGGTTCTTAAACAGCACAAAGTTTATATTGAAAGAAAAATTAAGGAGTATGTGATGTGTTCATATTGCAGACATCCGGGCTGTACGAACCTTGCAACTCCTGGCGAAACTTGTTCATCAACCAAGAGCAATGGAAGCAATGTTTGTGCCTCTGGTAAGTTTATGCAACATAGGGCTATCCTGAAAGCTTGAAATTGAAATGCAGATATACCATCCTGTCATAACTGTGTGTTACATTAGCTTAACAACAGATCACGTTTTCTAACAGGTCCGTCTCTCACGTGGATAAGACAACAATTGTTGCGGCGATTAGGTCAAGCAGCACTGCACATATCCTTTTGCTTAAATTCTTTGCCTTCTTTGCTGTACCAGATGTATCGCAAAAGTTTAAACGGGGTTTGAGTAAAAAAAAAAAAACAACAGGAAGCTCTTTTCCACAAAAATGTTCTATAAATCACAAAGAGCTGAAAATTCGAGCTAAATATGTGACTAAAAGTACAATCAAAATCTCGCTTTGCGTGAACATTGAGGTACATGACTGGGTACTTTCGCGTTTAAAGAAAGCATATTACGACTGTACATGATCGTTTGATAAGCACTAGGTGCCTAATTTTTTTTTCTGGGGTGGGAAAGCCCAAGTCAATGTATTACATTCAAGCCCATACAAAAATGTCCTATGGTCGGCTATAGAAAATTCTTTGTATGGTCGGCTTTAGCTATTTGGCCCAATTAGCTAAAGAATTTTCTATGGCTGTCTTTAGCATTTTTTATGGTCGCCTTTATGGGCCTTTTTAGCTTTGTCTATGGCCCTATCGCTGTCCAGCCATAGCGCTCTTTAGCTTTTCTAATGGTTGGATAAAGACTTCTCTGTGACTTTCCCTATGGCTCTCTTTAGCCAGCAAACCCTAAAAAAAAATCTACTTGAAGTTCCCCGACTTGCGATTTACACATGTATATATATATATATATATATATGTGTAAATCAATGTATAGATATAAATACATCTCTGAACACACAGAACACAAGCAGAACACTTCCCCACACAGCAGCAACAACGCAGATCTACAAACGCTAAAATTAGTTTGCTCTTTATGTTTATACAGCCTTGATGGAGATGCGCCTCAACGGGTAATCGGTCTCTTAGCTGTAGATGAGAAATTTAGACAGTGCAGTACAACCGCTAACCTGGGGTTTTTAACGTGCATCACGCAGTAGTGATCACACGAACGTGTGCCGGTACGAAACTCATCCAGATCGAAACGGGCGGGGGCGGCGGGGATCGAGCCCAGGAGGTTCCAGCGCAAGCTTTCGCTCCACGCTCCGATCTGAGACGCGTTAGCCCACTCGGCCACTTCCTCCCCTCTACAAACGCTATGTTCGCACTAGCTGTATATATGGCAGTCTAATTTTTGAATCCGACTTTGCCGGTGACCCATTATTTGTCGCAAAAACACTGAGAGGCGGAGCAAATATTACTCGTACTTAATACATTATTTGAATTGTCTCTCGGAATAGCCCGCATCTCTTACTTCAAAACCCTGAAAAAAGCAAATGTAGATCATTAGGCTAATTAACTAAAATGTATTAATTATCTTTTTAATAAGTTTGATGAATCACGTTGACAATGCAGTGATGACATGCAGTACACTGGCACTGAAGATTGCAATCAATCTATTGCTTGATTGCAGTGTTCGGCGCAAGTGTAAGTTATTTTCACTTTTCGGGGGTAATTTTAATTGTTGCACAAGTATTTTAATGGGTTTTTCAAACAAACAATATTACTGGTTTTCACGACTCGTTGGAACAGCAGAGAACATATCTAGGGTCATGGTTTGTCACCGGCCTGACAGAAATGTAGTATTGATTTAATTTTCTAACGTGGAGTGTTTTTACTAAAAAAAAGTAAGCGCCGGTAGTGATTTTCTGTAGGCGTGGAAAGAAAATTTATTGGTTCTTAGTCTTTAGACTCGGGGCCATAAATGTTTCTATAGACCGCTAAAGACAATTTATTGCTTTCCAGTCTTTAAACTCGGGGCGAAGGAGTTTTTCATAGGCGGGAAAAGAGCATTTATTGGGTCGCTGTCTTTAGACACGGGGCCATGTAATTTTCTATAGGCGTCTAAAGAAATTTTGTTGGTTCCCAGTCTTTAGACATAAGGCCATAAGATTTTCTATGGACGGTTAAAGACAATTTATTGGTTCCCAGTCTTTAGACCTGTGACCAAAGAGCTTTCTATAGGCGGGTAAAGAAAATTTATTAATTCCCAGTCTTTAGACACAGGGCCATAGATTTTTCTATAGCTGGCTGTAGCTGTCTTTATGGATCTCTATGGCCGACCATAGAGGGCCATAAGGGGTGACAGCCTGCCATATAAGTTTCCCCCCCGGAAGAAACGAATGAGTATATTGTAATGAATAACCAACTAGCCCCACAGTTATTTTTTAGTCTATTGCACCTTAGCCACGCCAAAGAGAAGTTTGAGTCCGTTTCGGTCCGGGGAGTGTAGACGACCATAGGCCACTTTTGTATGGGAAGGGGCTCTATAGTTATCAATATAATTTTGGCATGCGGCGTGCAAGTGTGTCTGCTGCTCGCGCACCTACTGTGTTTGTTTAAACCCGGCTTGTAGACACATGCTTTCGTTTACGTCCCGGTTTTAGCCTATGACAGCTCACAATAAAATGACGAGTCATCGTGCATTTGTAGTGACTCCGCGCATTTCCAAGGCGTATCTTGATTGCCGTGCTTTTTTCATTTTTTTCACTAAAGCTTCCACGAATGTTTTCATGCACAAAAGACACATTTTTGTTTGCTTGAACGTCTATATCGTTAGTGTTTCAGACTAGATGGTGGGCAGGCCTGGCTTGCTCCAAACTGTACAATTGTGATCCTGTGACTCTACACTGCTGCCCCGGATTGTCTTTTTCTATGCAGGAAGGGGAGAAACCGTCTACACCATGCATTGCTTACAGTGGCACCTCTGTTGAGCAGGCAGACGACCTGTTCCTTTACATTGAGAAGCAGCAGTTACTGCGTGTGATTGATGCTGAGCAAGGCATTGCTGCAATGATGGCGGCGTACTATCTTTTTGACATCAACTATGCTACAGCAGCACACAGTTTGTGCTGCGTTGTAGAACATTTATTTTTTGGTGTTCGTGTAACAAAACCGAGGTGCGCAACACAGCGCTTCATCTCTTCTTACGTGGCAGAGTTCTCCAGTGTTCAGCTGCAGTCTTCTGCCAAATAAGCAATCTGCTCACAAACCAACGTGTTTTAAAAGAACAATAAATTTTTCGAGTGATTGTTCCGCTATGTGTGTTCTTTAAATGACTATACTCGAGCATAGCTTTCTGTGGCAATGCAGCCGGAGCTGAGGGTGGCGTGTGGCAACTGGGCGCCGGTGCGGAGCGCAGCCATTGGCTGCGATATGATAGCAGCCGATGACTGCGCTCCGCACCGGCGTCCAATTGACCCCGGCCACCCACAGCTCCGATTGCATTGCCGCAGAAAGTTGTCTTTGAGTATTCCAGAACTACAATGACCATCAGATATGTGGCATGCATCAATAAGGCTCAATAGGGGTTATAAGGCTTCCTAGAATTTGCACCCTTTTAACACCCTCATAACACCCTTATATCAAAGGGTAGTGACAGGCTGCAAACACCCTTTATCGATAAAGGTGCACCTTAAACCACAACACCCATGAAAAGGGGTGTGTAGTCATTCGGAAGCACCCTTTCTTAGGGGTGCAAGGGGGTGAGTTATAGACACGAAAATGCACCTTTAAGGGTGCAAATTTTTTTACAGTGTAGTCGCGGAGCGGCTGGGCCATTCAATGGCGTTCAGAGCGAGAGTTTTCGAAAAGCGACTCGCCAACGAAGGCGTTGGACTCGCTCATCGCGCCCGCCAGTGTGACAATCTAATTTTTTTTTTTTTTTTTTTGCGATGCGATTTACTTGCACCGAGCGACTGCTTATATCGCCGGTGTGAACGCGCCTTAAAGGGGAACTCCGCCGATTTCTTCATGGTCCCCGATTTGCTTGAAATTTCGCTAAACTCGCCAAACAACATCGCCAAAATAGTATCCCAAATATTAGGTCAAAATAATTTTTTTTCACGAAGTTATTGAATTTACAATTTTGGTCCTCACCGTGTTTTTCAAACTGAAAGTCTCTACTGGCAACAATGAAAAAGTGACGTCATTGGAAGTGCAGGGGTTCACTCTTTGGACTGTAGAATTTGTTCCCAACTGATTCGAAGCAGTTTCATGGTGTCAAATGAATGCTTTGGAAGCTCGCTCCAGTCCCCGCGCTCCATCACGGAACAAATGATTGGCATATTCTATTTTTTAGACTGCTCGCCCGACTGGCAAGCTGACCTTCCAATGACGTCACGGCCCTGAAAAGGGCGGGTATATTTGAATGTTTGTTTTTGCATGATTTTCATTTGCCGATTTCGCAATAACTATTATGAATTTCACGATACTAAATAGCATACCAGAAAGGGTAAAGGCCGGGGAGTCAGAAAATATAGTTAGTTGAGGTAGCTCAAAAATCGGCGGAGTACCCCTTTAAAGCAGTCGTGTGATTAGAATTTGTTTCGGGTTTTTCGGGGGTAATAGGTGGGGAGGGCGTCTTTTGTATGCGAAGTTGGAACTGTGTTTAGTATAAAACGGGCAAATGATCCTTTTGTTCAAGTTCAAAGAAGATGGGTGGTGCTATTAGCGTGTTGACCTGTAAGGTTGTCCCTCAACTCTCACGCTCTCTTTCGAGTGTCGTGCTCTGGGGGACCCCTAACAGCTTCCTTCGCAATTTTAAATTGTTCAAGGATTAGCATCGCCGAAGGTCGCGGCGAGCGATCGACACAAAGAACGGTTTGCCACGGTGCTGGCAGCGTGCGTAGCAGCGGGTGGGGCACGTTTTGCTGACTTCCACGTGTCACCCAGAGACGTGTTACTGTAGTTCCCGTAACGACCAAACGTGGCTACAGATCGGCAAATAATTCGTTTCTTCCTTTGCGATTACTCAACGGAATATCAGTATATTGGGTGCAAGGTCATGTTTTTCTTTTTACTTGTGCTCTGATAAGCAATATTAAAAATACAATCTGCAACTTCTTTTAACATTAAGATTCTTACACTACCCTTTGAACACCTTGCCGCCCGCAGGGCCAAGAAAGCAACGCTCGGTCACGGACTTCTAAAAGATCCGCGTTTATTCTTGCTTCGGACGTAACTACTATCATTTCGTCCTACTTTCTTGTTCTCAAAAGTGCCTGTTCATTATCGCACCGAGCGCGTGATGCTCGAACCACGACTATATACTGTAATCATGACCAGCCCACAGAATGGCTCCCTATGGAAGACGCTGTCGCCGATGAAGTGCTTTATGGTGCCATTGGGGGCGTTCGATAAAGTTTTTCTGCGACCTAAACACGATTCACAGCCTGCCTAACTAACGCACGGTCCGCACGGCACGCCTGGCAATATTTGTTTCTCGGGAACACCTACCGTAGCGTGGCGGCAGCAGGCTGCAGAAGCAATAGCACACAACAGGGTGCATCGCTTTCATGTTCGCTTGGATCGAAAAAGCGCGTTTCTCAGGCACGGAAGCTCAAAGGTGTATTTTAGCCCCGACTGCTCTTCTGCCATCGGTGAAAACAAAAAAAAGAAGCGTTCTCGGACTACCCGTAAATAACCACTGTGCTGGCAGCCGGCGCCTCTAGCGGCAAATTTGTCACGTGATCCCCGAATGACGAGATCCCGCGAGGGGAGCAGGTCGGGTCCGGATAAGGCCGCCTCAACTCCATGGGACGAATTACGCGACGAATAACTGGCGAACGCCGCCCAACGGCTCGCTCGCTTTGCGCGCGTCGTAGCAGCCACTGTGTTGATTCCACGCGAAGAGCAAAAGCCGCCGGGCAAAATTCGTCGGTTATTCGCAGGATATTCGTCCCATGGAGTTCAGCCTTTAAGCCCCTTGATAAAGGTGTTTTCACAAGTACCGCCAACCATTGTTGCGGAAATGCGCAAGACACGTGCCACGAGCGGGTGCTCCGCCGCCATTCGCTTCCAAGGGCCGCTCATTTCAGTGCTGCGCCGCCATTTGCTTCCAAGGGCCGCTCGAGACCTGGTCCACGTGCGCTCGCGCATTTGGCGCTACTTGCAAAGACAAACGAAAACATATCGAGGGGCTTTAAGGCCGCCGCGCCTTTCGCGCCTTCGATTGATATGCGGATAGCCTAGGAAACAAAGCCTTTATACAGCGCCGCGAAATCATAGTGTGACGGAACGCTGCGGCCGAGGCCATGTTCTTTCTACAAGGAGCGCGCTGGCACATTCTTCTGTGGGCAGGTCAGGATTACAGTAGGTCTTGGCTCGAACCTTCTTTGCCATATTTTAGAGATAGTGACATACAATAGCCTAGCCTCTTATATACACATAAAGCCTGGCAGATCGCCACAGAAGTGGCCGCCGAAATGGAAAAGGTGGAACGGCAGACAACGGATGCGAGGAGAGCCATCTAACTGGCGCCGCGCTGCGACGAGACGCCGAAACACACTTCTCCCGAGCGAACAAGTGTGTTTCGGGTCCTCGCAGCTACAAAAGTTGTGTGCTGACGTCCAGGTTCCCCGAGAAATGGCTCTTTGATGCTGTGTACTACCAGATCCTCGCGCGCTCCAAATCTGCTACCGGGCACTCTATGGTTCCGTCGTCCAACTGCCAGGCTTTGCGAATTTAGAGGGAGCTATGACAGTAAATAAGGAGCTGCCCGCGACCTTGTCGAGGAGGCCTCGCTCTCGCTTGCTGTTACGCCGCCAAATCGCCGCAAGCTTTTATGCTGTCTCGACGCTGGTCTTTTCTTTTGTTTGACACAAGTTCCCTGTTCATCCCTTCGTCGCCTTCTTACCTGAAAGTTTTCTGGTGGAGGTGCGGCTACCGCAGCCCATGAAGCGCACTCCTTCGAGGCCTCGCAGCGCAAGCCCAGTCCCCGGCTCAAGAAGACCACCGTGAAATTGACCGAGACCCGAGGAACCCGCCGTGTCGAAGGTTTGCCCCGGAATTCGATCCGCTGCCGAAGAAGACCTACCAGTCGACGAAGCCGACAATGAGCAGCCAGTCGCCACAGACCCCTGCCTCCGCCCCGGTCTGCCTGCCCGTCACCCCGCGATCGCCGACGCCCTTCCATGGCGAACTCTACGAAGGCGTCGAGAACGGATCCTACACTACGAGCGTGTGGCCCACCACAACAGATGGAACGCCGAGCAACGCCTCCAGAACCTTTACTTCTCGATGGAAGGCATCCCCAAGGGTTCGATAACCACGAGGCTTCGCTCACTTCGTGGGACACCTGCGCCATCGAGCTGAAGCGGACCTTCTTGAGCCAACACCGGCGACAGAAGGCGGATGACTTGCCCCAGACGAGAACTCAAGCACCCAACGAAAGCGTGATCAGCTTCGTTGAAGACGTGCTACGCCTGTGTACACGCGCCGACCCGCAGGCCACCGAGGAGAAGTTGCGCTTCCTCATGAGGGGCGTCAAGATCGAAATCTTCGGCGGTCTGTACGCAGCACCCCCAAGGTATATGTACATGGGTAGCGAAGCTTCCATAGAAGCTCACATGTCGAAAAAATGGCGGCCCATGGAGCGGCTTTAGCGCCATCTATGAGTCGTGGGGACACTTCCGGCGGAACAAAAAATCAACAGGAAATGACGACACTTCCGGAAAAAAACGTGACGTCATGCGTGCGTGCGGTTTGGCGCGAAAATTAAACCAAACTAATTCCAGAGATCACAGGTAAATGAATGACATACACACTAAAAAGTCTCAAACATAGCTCCGTGTTTGAGCTTTGTTTGATACTTTTTTGTGCATATGTCGTTCTTTTTACCTGCAGTCTCGGGTTTTTCTTGGGGTGTTTACACCTTGTGTTTACTCTATACTGGAATACTGGATCGTTTACACCCTTATTTGCCCTTGCTCTTATATTTCGTTCGAAATGTCTTTTTTTTCTGCAGCCGACTTTGTTAGCCGACCTGCTATGAGAGTAGTTTCATTTCGTCACACCATCGTGTCTTTGCACTGTGGTCAAACTCCAGCCGCAGTGTTTTGCTTTTTGTTCCTTCAGGATCCCTGGGAAATATGTGAGAAACCTTAAAGCAAATTATGTAATGTCACAAAAAAGAGTGAATCAAATTGCTGGAGTGTGTTGGGCGTATGAAATACAGAACAGTAACTCTAATGCAA